GGAGCTGCTTCGCCGAGATAAGAGATGATAGGGTGCCCGAGCTCACATTCCCACACTCCGAATTTTCCAATAACGCCAAGAGTACTGACCTAACGATTAACTGTGTTGCAAAGGGGGCCTCTTCACCTAGCCCAAAGACAAACAATGCATTTCCACAACAAAGAATACTCAGAGAGGCAAGGAAATGCCTTCAAGCAACTACTACACACCGTGCAGATAACAATACAATAGCTGCTAGGTTCTTAAATAATGATTCTTCATCAGCGGCGGCGAATTCAGAGAAAGATTCCAAAATCCCTCATTGTATTGAATTTGCCACGGATTTGCCCTCTTTACAAACTGATCCTGAGGAGGATGCTGCTTCTCCTTCTCCAGGGGCAGCAGCAGCAGCAGCTGAGCTCCAGTGCACTGATACGGGCAATAAGGCATCGCCGTTTCTGCACAGCGTTCAAATCAAAACAGAGGACAGCAGTGCCAACGACGAGTACGAGCCTGACCTTACAACACATAAGCTAAAGTGTGAGTGCAATGATACTAAGGATGAGTTTTACGGTGTGACTGAGAGTGATAACCAGGACGCTTTATTAACAGCCAAGGAAGACTCTGCATGCACTGAGAAAGAAACCACTTCCTTAAACCCCCTGACTCAGAGTCAGGTCCTCTCATGCACTTTAGGTACTCCAAAACCTGAGGATGGGGAGTATAAATTTGGAGCAAGAGTGAGAAAAAATTACAGGACACTGGTTTTGGGAAAGCGACCTGTACTGCAGACTCCTCCAGTCAAACCAAATTTGAAATCAGCTCGAAGCCCACGTCCTACAGGTAAAATCGAGACACATGAAGGAACACTGGATGATTTTACAGTTAACAATAGACGCAAAAGGGTAGCCAGCAATGTAGCATCAGCAGTGAAAAGGCCATTTAATTTCATGGCAAATTTTCCCTGTCCACCATCACTAATTATTGGCAATGATGGGGATTTGTTGCCAGCTTATTCCTTAAACACCACTAAGGATTCCCAACCACCTCACAAGGCCCATCCTGTATGGAAATGGCAGCTGGGCGGTTCTGCAATACCTCTTCCACCTAGCCACAAATTCAGGAAATTTAATTAATAAAATAGTTTGGAAAATATTTTCTTGAACCACCTTTAACTTTCTTACTTTTGTTTTGTTTTGTTTTGTTTTTGTTTTTTTAAACTCTGCAGGATGGTTTGTACAAGCCCATTAATGCTATACACACTTTTGGAATCCTGTTTTATCACATTGTGAAGACAGAGACCGGATTACTATTTTCTTTGCCGTTACAACAGCGGTGTTTTGGTTCGTTTTGGGTTTTCTAATTTTTTTAATTTTTTGGGTTTTTTTTTTTGGTTCTGTTGCATTTGGGGTCTTCTTTTGTTACATTCCACAGAGTACTTCAGGCTAAAGACTCAAGTTAAACTCAGTTATTATGGTAGAGCTCGAACACTTTACTGTTTAAATGCTAATAATGCACCAGTACCTCAATTCAACTGCTGCAAATAAATGTCAAAAGGTTGAATAATAAATATTAGAATGAGCCATTAAATTTATGCACTAGATTTCGAAAATGGAAGTCTAACTGTTAATTCAGTTAAAGTTTGTTAAGTTACATGGTTGCACAGTAAGGGTTCACTATAATTCAATGTGGCAGCAGCCTGTTTTTCTGGAGCTTTGTTTTCGGGTGCAGGGGTGTCTTTTTCGAAGAGCAGTTGCACTTACTCCTTTTTCTCTGGTTTGGAAAGGCTGGGGTCCGCCTGAGACCCCAGCGCTGGGAAAAGCTGCCTCATCTGAAACCAGTAAATAAATGTGGAATTCTATTTTTGGTAAAAGGGTGTCTTTTTACTTGTACAGCCACTCTTTGCAGTTGGGAAGCCTTCTTGTTTCACCCAGAGGTCTTAAAGAAGGTGACTGTTACCCCGTAATGTCATACTTAAGTTGTAGTCTGAACATGCCCCTTAAAAACTTGCAAAGCAACTGAAATATTTGCCCGGCTAGCAGTACAATTTATGGTCCAGCCCATCACGCTGGCTGGAGGAAATAGCAAAGCAGTAAATACAGCACAGAAAGTGAAACGACAGGCTGTAAGTGGAAAGAATACACAAAACGAGAAGACCACGTTATTCATAGCTTTTTGGCACCAAAACTCAGGCGTTTCGACCGTGTTACACTTCCCGGGTCTATCCTCATCTCTTGAAATGTGTTGTCATAGGTTTTGGTTTTGCTTTTTTTTTTTTTTTTTTTCTTTTGGCCATGCCATCCTCTCTATGTAGCAGAAACATTTCTACTGCACGTGACAATCAGAGGCAATTATCTATATTTGCACTTAATATCGAAATAGTTGAACAGGCAGACTTCTAGAGTCTAGCCCTCGGTAAGACATGCTGGTATAATATATTGTGATGATGGAAGCAGTAAATCAAAATTATGGAAATTTGCACTGTTGAAAAGCATGCTTTAGCTTTATTTTCAATTAAAAACACTGTTAAAAAACAATTCCTGATTCCATACACTTTGAATTATTGCAGAGTTATCCGTGGTTTCCTCTCCGTTTGTAAGTTTACTGTTTTTATTTGGAGGAAATACGTTTCAAGAGGTTAACTGTTTCCCTCCCTGCCCCCCAACCCCTCGAAAAGAAAGGGAAAGAAAAAAAAAACAAAGAAAGGAAAGGGAAAAAAAAAAAAAAAGAGAGCGAGCGAGAAAGGCTGGAGGCCGAGGTGGAGGCAGAGCTGAGGACGGGGGAAGGTCTGTCTTGCGGGGGGGACGGGTACAGCAACTCTGAAACAGACTGAAAAGTTTGCAGCTTGAGAAAGGCAGCTATAATTGAGTTGCTGAATCAGCAGAGTTTACGATGAATAATTGCTGGTTTCTTTCTTTAGATTAGCATTTTATTTATACTAGATCATTCCCAAATTAAATTTTAAGGATTCCACTCATCGATCAATCCCAGGAGAATAATTTATCGTAAATCAAAAAAAGGAAAACAAAGCAACAATGTCTTGTTTACTGTGTGACTCAAAGTCAACATTTCTTCTGGCAATCCACTGTCTGGGTTTCAATTTTTTAATTCCTGCCTTTTGTGACGCCCTCTTCCCACCCCTCGCGTCTCTAAATATTCCAAGCAGTCACTAACTGATTTCAGCTCTGTTTACTACATCCACACCGTAGTTTTCCTCTCATTGTAAAAGGCTTGGTCCAAGAATACCTGCGGCCAAATATATTTAGAAAGAGTAAACAATTGCCTTTCAGTGGAGTCACCCTTCCCCCCCCCCGCAGGCACACGCACACACATCACTTTAAGCTGCCAGTTGCAAAAGGTGCATTGCATACTTAACCGCTGGGCTGAAATTACGACGGTCACGAAAAATTCTGCTTATGGAAGTCGTTCTGAGATGAATTGTTTACATTCGTATGTTTAGATCTGCACAGATTACGGCCTGATTTCCAGAGAACTGTAAATACGTGCAAAACATACCGCTCAGGAAAGCCCCCTGCCCTGTTAAGAGAGCCGCGTCTGCTTCACAAAGGTCTCTTCCTGACCAAAAAAAAAAAGAAAAAAATAAATTAAAAAGAGGGAGCCAAATCCAAAAGGAGCAAAGGTGCAATATGCAAATTTGAAACCTAAAATTTCGCCTCGTCAATTAAACAACGTATCACTTTCAAAGTAACTGCGTCGCCTGCCCCTGTTTACTTCCAGAGATACACTGATTCGGCCAGGAATGGCAAATTACAGAGGTGCCTTTTCAGGTTCCCGAAATAATGCCGGGAGGGGGGAGGGGAAGGAATAAGCAGAAATTCATACCAAATAGGCTCTGCAGAGTTGAGGACGTGAAATATGGCGCCCAGCTCTGCCAGCGGCCCGGAGTTCCGGGCCCACGAGTGGGGCAGGGAGCGCCCCGGGCATCCCCCGGGCACCCCCCGAGCACCTCCGGCAGGCTGCTCCGTCACCTCCCTGCCACGAAGCCCGCATCAAAAGGCAAGAAGTTAAACGGCCAAGTAATTTTCACACGTGTACACCTCAGTTTAGTGCAAGCCACTAACTAAATTCATGTTTTTACTGCTGTTGGAGAAATTAGCCAGGTACAATAACTCTCTGGGGGAGGGGAAAAGGGGGGAGCAACAACTAAAAAAGTGTTATTTCCAATTCTGGTAGTTTGGTAAATGTTTCTGATGCCATTGTAATTATTATTGTGAATAGAGTTCATTATCATTTCAGCCTTAATAATATAAAGTAATTTCACAGAGTTGTGTAAAAATACCCCATTTTCTCCCAGAAAGGTAAGTTGTAATAAGGAGGAAAAACAAAGGTTTCTCAAGTGAGCCAGGTTACCATCTTGTTGCTACGTTTATGAGAGATAAAACTTAAAATGTATTAGTAATGAACTGCCACCATTTTCCACTTCCTGGTGTACGCAAAAGCCAACAGAATTTTCTAGAGGAAAAAGTAATCATGGGAAGCACGTGTAGTTTATGGACTGTACGCCATAAGCATTTGCCACAAGTAGAGTTCACTGGTAAATTTATTGGGAAGATTTCTGCTGCCAGGTGGAAGACAAAATGAAGTTTTGGACTACGTTTAATTCTCTAGAGCATTAAAAAGGGAATATGTGTAATGCCTTCAGCAACGAGGTCTATTGCCTTAAAAGATGTAACTTGTCGTTTACAACAATTTACTTTAAGAAGTGATTGTTCTGTAACCTACACTTACTTGATTACAGTGGGATAATCTCTTTACTGGTTGTTTATTTAAAACGGCACTACTAGCAATAATGCAAAATAGTGGTAGCTGTTGTATGAAGTTCGCTGTTCAGTCGATTAACTTGGGTGATTTTTTTATACGGTCTCTGATCCTTTTTCCTCTCACAGATTTAGTTGCCAATAAATTAAACTTTCTGCAGAAATGAGAGCGATGTTATCATGTTTGTGTTCGTTCCTCTTCACACATGTGAATGGTTGAGGCAGAGAGGGGTAAAAACCCTGGCACTTTCAACACAGTGCGCTAATCTGCAGGAAAATATTCTACATATGCAGTATGTTAGAGAACATGAAAAATGGATAACGTTGTTCGCTGTGGTTTTTCTGGTTAAGGGGATAGCTGGAAAAAATATGCAATGGCTCATCTCAGGCTCTGTTTGGTCAGCTTGTAAGTACAAAAGGAGGGAGAGCTCCTGAAAAGCCCTGGCTAGCAAACTAAGAAGGGAGGCATTGGGATGTACCTTGATAAAGTCACACTTGCAGACATTCCACATTTGCCTGGTGTCAAGCCCTGCAACTGCTCATAAAAGAAAGCGCGGCCTAACAGCCCCGAGGCTGAGGGCGGCTACGGCTGGTGGGGTGGACGGGGCAGGCCGGTCTGGCCGCCAGCCCCAAAACCCTTCGGGAAGGGACAGCTAACCGTCTGAGGCCTTCCACGTTGCGTTTTTTCTCTGCGCTGATATAATTATTTGCCGTGCCCTAGGCCCCTCTCTCTCCCCCTCTCCCTTTCACTCCGAGGCGGCCTCACAAGCCCTCGCTTTAAAAGGCCTGAGATGTTTTGCATGAAGCGCTCACAATAGGGGTTGATAGAATTGACAGTTTCAAAAACAAGGCGCCCTGTCCTTTCCAGATGCCGAGGACCCCTCTCCCGCACCATCTCTCGTTTGCTCTTCGCTGCTGGTGGCTGCATCCTTAGCATTGCAAATATACGGCAACAGCTGTGTTTGTAAACAGGGGGGAGGTCGGCGGGAGCTC